GCCTCTAGGCCATCGTGACCCCTTGGGCTTGATATTTGTGATAGTTATCTTTACAGGTGTGTGCTTTTCAATGGCTTTTTCCTATCTATCAATTCCTTGTGTGCCTGTTCTCCTTGGGGCCCCAGCGGAGGAGGGAGCTTGAAGTGGTTGAGGTGGTACCTTGAGGCTCCACCTGGAGGCTCCTGGAGAAGAGGAATGTGGTCCTGAGCTGCAGTTACTTGACTGGGAATGAAGGAATCACTACCCTGTAGTTCCCTCTTTATCTGCAGCTTGGCTTTCTGCGTTTTAGTTCCCTGAAGTTGACCACAGCCTGGAATTAATAAATTTCCCCACCATCCACATAGTAATAGCTCGATGATCGGGGATCACCCAGAGCAGATGACCCTCCTGACAGGTGGTCAGGACAATAGCAGCCTAACACGCACAATGCTTAGTCGTTCATCTCGCTTCATCTCGTTATGTTGGCATTTTATCATCTCACATCATCACAAGAGAAGGATGAGTACAGTGGTGTTTCAAGAGCGACTACATGCCCATAACTTATCACACAGTATGTTGCTGTAATTAGTCTATTTTATTGTTGCTAATCCCTAACTGTGCCTAATTTATGAACTCCATCATAGATATTTATATATAGGAGAAAAGAGTATATATAGGGTTGGGTACTACCCACAATTTGGTTTCAGGCACTTACTGGGAGGGGGCCTTGGACCAAGTTCCTAACTCCCCACCCCCAGGCAAGGGGGGTACTATTCTACTTTTGAACTAGCACCCCCAAAATCTTGCAAAAGGAAAGTGAGAAATTCAAAGCCGACCCAAAGTGACCTATGGAACCCAGGGACTTGGTTAGGAAGAGGATTTCAAAGCATGCACCGCTCAGCTGACTTTTTAAGGCGCCCCTCTCTATCCACCTGTAGCGGGGAATTCCCCTCCTCTTGCTCTGGAGCGCTCCCAGTTCCGTGCAGCCGTCTTCAGTCCGTCTCTGGGAGCTTGGAGTTTCCCTGTGGCTTCTTGGGCTTCTCCGCTCCTCTGTGACCTTTTTCTCTTTCTCTTTCTCTTTATTTTGGTATGCTTCTGAGACTCACTTTTAACAACTTTACCCTGACTGTCCGGAGCCTCAGCTCTCCTTTCACGGTGCGGCTTACCTCCGCACCTGGACAGAGAGCGACGAGTTCCGCCTCCTCCCAGTGGTGCCCCGAGGGGCTCCCGCGCCTCGGCCTGGACCGCGCAGGGCTCCCGCCGAATAGGGGCCGAGGGGGCGGGGAGGGCCGGGCCTCAGGAGGAGGCGGCACCGCCGGCAGCCCGGCCCTGCCCTGCCCGGCCCTGGGAACCCGCAGGGCCGAGCCTCGCCCCGCGGCCCCCACGCCCCCCGGCCCAGAGGAGAGGGGCTGGCCCACTGCCAGCGTCGGAGGGCCGGCCCCCTCCCCCGGCCCGCTTGCAGCCAACCAGGCAGTCCAGCGGGGCCCACGTGACCTGGAGTTCTAGACAAAGAAAATGTTCAAGCCCTCCCCCCCTACCTCCCCCCTCCCCCTCTCTCTGGCCCCCTCCGCCCCCAGTCCCGTCGCCCCCTTCCCCTCCCCCCAGACGGGCAGCTACTTAGAGAGCTCCAGGCCTGGGGCTCACACCTGAGCTGGACCTCAGAGGGGCTGCACCTGGCCTTATGGGTAGGTTCCTGGACGGAGCCCTGGGGGGGCGGGAAGGCGGCAGGGCCGGTGGGGGGACCTCTGGGCCGCTGCGGTCCTGTGGGCTGAGAAGAGTCAAGTATGCTTCCCTAGCGCGAGTTGTGGAGATGCTGAGTTACTCCTGTCCCACCCACTGCCTCCTCAGGAGCCGCAAGCCCCACTCCTCCCTGCGCTCAGGTGGGACCTGGCCGGCCAGGGGCCGGGGAGAGCAGCCCTGCTGTGAGCGCGGGGCAGCGGTCAGTGAGGGCTGGGGAACAGGCCCCAGGCAGGGGCGCTGGGAGCCCAGGAGTTGGGCTGGAAACAGCGCTTTTGCCGAGCTGGCAGGCAGTTGGGTTGTCGGCATTTCCCTGGTGACCTGTGTTCCTGGCTGGTGGACCATGCTGTCCTCAGGCCGTGCCAACCTTGTGGCCTCTCGAGAGGGATAGTTTCCTCTCCTGCGTGTCCGTGGAAGCCACCGGGCGGGCCACCAGGAAGAAGTGGTGCTGGGGATGGAGGGAGCAGTGCAACCCTGACAGGGGCTGTGGCACATCAGCGGGCGCCTGGGGGGGCAGCCTGATGCCAGCCCATGACGGCAGGGGCGCCTGGGACAGCCCAGGATCTGCTGCACCAGCCGTGAGTCCGCGTGGGTACCCAGACCTCTGACCCTTGGAACAGGAAGCGGCCAGAGTGCAGAGGGAGGTGGAAGTGGGACTGGACTGAGAGGCCCTGCCTCCACCAGAGTGGCGTTACCAGCAGCTTTCCAGGCTGGACAAACTCCAGGCAAAGTGGCCTCCCTGAGCCACAGTGGCCGAGGGTAGTGCGGTGTCTCCCTGATCCTGGCCCATCTCTCAGCCCCCCTGGGGTGTTGTCTTCTGAGCTGGGGGTAGGAGCCTATAGCCCAAATGCCAAACCTGAATTAACCCTTCTTTCCCCTATTGTTCGCCCGGGAGATGGGTTAGAGTGAACGCAGAACAAAACGGCATTCCCTCACTACCCCAGGCAGTCTCCTCTGATGAGGAGGCCCCTCCCCCACCCAGCCACTGTCTTTGCCCCTTCCTCCCTTTTCTCCTGCCTCCTGCTGCTAACCCACCCCTTCTTCCTTCCCCCACCCCTGCCGGCCTTGTCACGGTGGAGGCCCCCTTCCTCCACCTCCGTCTGCCCAAAACTGTTTCGTCTGCCAATAACTGTTTTGGGTGCACGTTCTCCTGCACCTAGAGGGTTGGCGGCGCTTAATAGCCGTCAGCAGCAGCATCTGACAAGCAGGAGGAAGTTGTGGGGGAAGAATAATGTTCAGGAACTGGCTGTGGAGGGGTGGGGAAGAGAGACAAAAGGGTTGTGGGGGAGGACGAGGGTGGTGTCAGGCACGACTGGATTCTAGACCTGGGGTGCCCAGCGCCCACCCCCTGCTGTTTGTTGTGGAAGTGACTAGAACTCCTTTCCTCAGGTCCTCTGCTAACTGCACACCTGGTTTTGGCTGAGGGTCCCTGTCACCTCTGATGGGGTCTTTGGGTCATTCAAGGCAGCACCCTGGTCTAGGTCGGTCATCAGACCAGATGTTGGAAGAGGCAGGATAGAGGGAAGGGAGCAGAAATAGCCGGGCATGGCGCTTATCTGCTGGGTCTGTCCTAGGTGAGGGCTGCCCCCCCAGCTGATGACTCTAGAAGAGAAGCTTCCTTCCCCCTAGGATTTTGTGTGTACCCAGGCCGCCCAGCTTCTGGGGGGAGGAGGTGGCGGGTAATTGATAGTAGGAAGGGGAGGGCAAAGTCCTGCCAGGTGAGAGTGGGACTAGGGTGGGATGAGCAATTGCTCTGCATTCTTCCATCTCATTCTCCCAGCTGTGTGTGGGGTAGGGGCGGAGGATGAATTATCCCATTTTAGAATTTGTTGAGTCAGAGAAAGAGCTAGGACTTCCATCCTTAGTGTTTTAGGAATTGCGACAGGAAACTGAGTGGCCCAGAAACAAAGACTTGAAGATTGAATGAAATGAAATGAATGTACAAGAGGCTAGACCGAGTTTAAAACCAAGGTTCTTTAACCTGGCACGCTGGGATCTGGGGGTCCATTGACAGGTTTTGGAGCATCCTTGGAAATCTTGATACATACATACATCAGATTCCTGTACCAGTCTGAAAAGGTTAACAGAAATCCTTCGTTCAAATGCCTTTTTAGGTTGGAGCAACTCAGCGGAGAAGGGGTGCTCCAAAGTCAGCTGTTCAGAAGTTGCAAAGCTAAGACAGGATGTAGGTGCTCTCATGCTCTGTTTTCATCTACAGGGTAGGCTGGCACCCACAGCTCTAGGCTCTGGGGGACAGCTTCATGTTGAAAGGCATGTCGAGGTGGGATTTTCTCTGTCTGAATCTGGTGTGGTGGGAACGGGTGCAGAGCCTTGAAGTTTGAGGGCCACACATTTGCGATTCAGTAGCTGGCATGAGATGAGGTTGAATGGCCCTCAGAGCAAAGTATGAAGAATTTCATGGTTTGAAATTCTGTAGGAGGTGAGCACCCTGGAGCAGGGTGTGAGGAGGAAGGGAGCCTGAAGGGTGAAGCGGCAGACGGCAAAAGGAGGGATGCCGTCCAGCTGAGACAGTGCCGGGGTTCGGCAAGTTTGCTGGTGGGATGGCCGAGAGGATGCCTGTGCTCAGTAAAAAATGGTTGAAAGAATAAGTGTATTTATGTAGGGATCTGGAAGGTATACAGATTCACCACTTCGTGCTCTCTGTGTACCTCTGAGCACGGCGGGAGTGTGTGCGTGGGCAGGCTCTTATGGGCCTTTTCCGTGGTGTTGGAGCAGATGGGTAAGGGGCTCCAAACATACAGTAGTGGTTTTCATCGTCAGTGGACAAACTAGAACTGTGGCCTATCTGGGAAGCCACGTAGATTTTTCTGATTGCCTGGGAAAATTTTGGAAAAAGGATGAGAGGACCCAGTTCTTGGGAAATATGAGAGGAGAGGGTGGAGCCAAGGACTGGGGCTATGGCAAGGTGCAGGATTCACATCTGAATGGAATTAACCTTTCCGTGTCAGAGGGTGGGCAAGTGATAATGGCAACAAATTGGGAAAGATGCGGACAAATTGGGAAAGATGCGACCAGGGAGGAAGGTGTCCTAGGAGGCAGAGAAGGCTGGAAGTGAGCCAGGTGATTGGAGGTCACCTCTCAACTTCAAATCTCTCTGTTTTCCGTGGCAGGCCAGTTGAGTTGATGAGGGAAGGACTTTCCAGCCCTTTACCTCCGGTAACTGTCTCCAGACCACAAAGAGATTGAGAAGAGCGCCCTAAGTGTGAGGCGGCCTTGCTGATTCCCGTAGAGGTCCAGGTAACTTCTGTTCCTTGTTTCTCCAGGCTGAGAAGAAAGCCAAGGTGATTGCAGTAATGAACGCTGTGGAAGAAAACCAAGGCTCCGGCGAGTCTCAGAAGGTGGAGGAGAATAGCCCTCCTGCCGTGCAGCAGCCCACTGACCCCGCATCCCCCACTGTGGCCACCACACCTGAGCCTGTGGGGGCTGACACCGGGGACAAGAATGCCACCAAAGCAGCCGATGATGAACCAGAGTACGAGGTGAGCGGCTTGCTTCTTCGTCTGCCTCGTCCAGCTCTGTCCTGGGTCCTTCCACTGCCAGCTCCTTCCGTCCTGCTCTCCTCTCTCCACCTGATCCCAGGCCTCTTCGTCTCCCCAGTTTTGCTCTGTTTCGGTCCATTCAGATGGAGCTCCCTCCTGGCTGTCCTGACCCCCAGATGCCCAGGGCTGGGGTTGCCGTGGGGGGATCCGGGTGGCAGGGCCTCATGACCGCTGTGTAATGACTTCTGCTCCTTGGGGCTCCAGGACGGCCGGGGCTTTGGCATTGGGGAGCTGGTGTGGGGGAAACTGCGGGGCTTCTCCTGGTGGCCAGGCCGCATTGTGTCTTGGTGGATGACGGGCCGGAGTCGAGCAGCCGAAGGCACCCGCTGGGTCATGTGGTTCGGAGACGGCAAGTTCTCAGTGGTGAGTTACGCAGTTTGGCGTGACCTGGGGGAGGAAGGGGCCTTGGTCCCGGGGCCTATGGTTTTGTCTGTGGGTATGGTCTGGGACTAGGGTGGTAGATGTGGGCTCTGCTTGCCTCCACTCCATGGGCATGAATGAAAAAAGCCCAAGAGAAAGAAGCCCTGACGCAGAGCTAGGATCCCTGTTGAGTTTTTGCCTCTGGGACCCCCTTCCCCAGAATTCCTTTCCCACTTGGATTCATATCCTTTGTGTCATGTAATTATTTATCAGTGCATCCGGTTCTCTCAAGGACAGGGCCAAGTCTTAATGCCCCCAACCCCTGCCAGTTGCCAGGCACGTGGTGGGTGCTTGATGAGTGTGGAGGGAGGAAAAACGAGGGTGGTGGTTGTCCCTCCAGGTGTGTGTTGAAAAGCTGATGCCGCTGAGCTCCTTCTGCAGTGCGTTCCACCAGGCCACCTACAACAAGCAGCCCATGTACCGCAAAGCCATCTACGAAGTCCTGCAGGCGAGTGCCCTCTGAGGGATTCAGACCACCCGCTGGCCTAGAAGCCAGAGCCTAGACGTTAGTCTTGGGCAAAGGGTCTGCCCGCCAGGCCCTGTGGACTCCTTTTGTCCCCACCCTACGTGCCCCCTTTCTGCACTCCTCAGATGTTCCCCTACAGTGTTCCCTGCCCTGCCGCCCCCCGCCAGCCCCATTCCCTGCCACTTCCGCTACTTGGAGTCCGCCCCCAGCCTGTCCTGACACCACCCCCCAACTCTCCAGGTGGCCAGCAGCCGTGCCGGGAAGCTGTTTCCACCTTGCCACGACAGCGATGAGAGCGACACTGCCAAGGCCGTGGAGGTGCAGAACAAACAGATGATCGAATGGGCCCTTGGAGGGTTCCAGCCCTCTGGCCCCAAGGGCCTGGAGCCACCAGAAGGTAAACGCAGGGGCCCCGCCCAGCCTCCTGGGCCCCCTGCCAGCCAGGCCTGGGGACGCCATGCCCGGGGAGAGCTGCCAGGGCCTCCATCAAGGGGCCCCCGGCTCCCTCCGCTGGGGTCAAGGTAGGGGCAGTATTGCTCTGGGACTCAGGATAACGTGCTCCCCGTTGGCCTGCTGGCACGAGAGAGGTGGGAGCAAGGAACAAGTAGGGGACCAGGCGGTCCCCCATTGTAGGTAGAATGGGGGAGGAGAGGGAGCTGGGATTCCCTGTCAGCAGGTAACCGTGACCTCAACCTCCGCTTCCCCCATCCAGAGGAGAAGAACCCCTACAAAGAAGTTTACACAGACATGTGGGTTGAACCTGAGGCAGCTGCCTATGCACCACCCCCACCAGCCAAAAAGCCCCGAAAGAGCACAACTGAGAAGCCCAAGGTCAAGGAGATTATCGACGAACGCACAAGAGGTAGTTGGCCTGGCTCTGGAGAGAGTGGCCTGGCGAGGCCGGCACTCAGAGGCGTGGCTGAGGCCCCGCGGCCGCCTCTGATGCTGGGCTTCCCTCCCCTCCGCAGAGCGGCTGGTGTACGAGGTGCGGCAGAAGTGCCGGAACATCGAGGGTGAGTCCAATGGGGCGGCTGGGCGCTGGCGCCCCGGGCCGTCTGTAGTCTCTGCCCCTGGGACAGGCAGGCGGGCTGGCTCCTGGTGGGCTGCCTGGCACCAAGGCACAGCTACTTAGAAAAGTTTGAATGACATGGGACATCAGTACTCAGTGACAGGGTCTGTCCTGCATGTCCTACCACCTCCAGCCTATTTCACACACACATCTGTCTTTTGGTGCCATAATCTTACCTTCCTGTCAATGTTGTCGGCTGGTCATTAGGGTTTGGGACACTCCAGTGGGTGACAGTGGGTGACCCCTCTTGGATTTGATTGAATTTCCTTGAACTTGACCTTTGGGCCTTTCGCCTGTCATCCCCGTCTTTCATCCAGTGGTCACTATTAGTATCCCATGTCTGCCTCCCTTGGCCTAGTGATGTTGTGTCAGGCTTTGGGGACCCTGAGGCCTGGGAGGGATGGGGGTGGGGGCCCAAGGCCTATCTCCAGAGTTGGGTCCTGCCCCTACATGACGCCACTCCTCGATGGTCTTTCAGGGCATTGATGCTCTGAAAGATGCCTGGGCTTCTGAGATGGGGGCCCCAGTGCCTCCCTCTTCCACGAGACACCTCTCAGACTCCTTCCTGCCTTACCTTTTGTCTGCTGCTCCAGCGCACCCCTTTTTTATAGCTTTTCTGGAGCTGGCTTTGGTCCTAGGTGAGGGGAGCCTGCAGGGACATTCACTCTGTTTTCTCTGCTCCCTAGACATTTGCATCTCTTGTGGGAGTCTCAACGTCAGCCTGGAACACCCTCTCTTTATCGGAGGAATGTGCCAAAACTGCAAGGTAGGGTTGTGGAGGGCGGCCCTGGGCCCCGGGCTGAGCCCACCTCCTGACCTCTGGCCTGTAGGGGGCAGCCTGAAGGCCACCTCAAGGTTAGCTGCGGGAGCAAGGAAGTCCTGATCAAACAGACCTTTGGGCTTCAGGCATTTGACTTGCCATTAGCTTTCCTCCTGAAAGATTCTTCCCCCTCTAAAGCCCATGCTGGTCCCCAGATGTGAAGATACAACATCAGTCACTAGTGGGGAGGTCAGGCTGCTGACGAGTGGGTTTCTGTGCCCTTGGGGCCAGAGAAAAATCCAGGGCTGCCTCAAGGGGCAAAGGGCAAAGGGCGCTCCCTCCCCAGCCTTCCCTGAGGCCTCCTCGGTGCCATCCACCGCCGGGGTCAGGAGAACGCTGTCCCCTGCCCTGCTCTGTGGATCGGGTTGGGCCCTGGTGGGATGGGTGGCTGGGTCCTGTCTCCAGGGCTGAGTCAGGGTTCCAAGGTGAGAACCCCAGGCTGGCTCCAAAGCCTGCCTTCACTGGCCGCCCGGGGTCCCTCCCAGGGGTCTGAGCCTCTACCTGTTCCCTAGAACTGCTTCCTGGAGTGCGCGTACCAGTATGACGACGACGGCTACCAGTCCTACTGCACCATCTGCTGTGGGGGGCGCGAGGTGCTCATGTGTGGGAACAACAACTGCTGCAGGTGAGGTCCCCGCCTCGGCCCTCCCTCGCCGGCCTTGGGGCTCGCTGCCCGCCCTGCCGCGCTCCATCCCGGACTGGCTGGGGCTAAGAGTCTCGCCACTCACCTGGGCTTCCTTCCAGGTGCTTTTGCGTGGAGTGTGTGGATCTCCTGGTGGGGCCAGGGGCTGCCCAGGCGGCCATTAAGGAAGACCCTTGGAACTGCTACATGTGCGGGCACAAGGGCACCTACGGGCTGCTGCGGCGGCGGGACGACTGGCCCTCTCGGCTGCAGATGTTCTTCGCCAATAACCACGACCAGGAATTTGTGAGTGCTGGGCCTAGGGCCTGCTCTAGAGCTCTGTGCCGAGCAGAGGGCAGATGCAACAGCGCTTTGGCTGGTCACGGGGCCGGGCAATGAGCAGAGGCGCCTGAGCCGCATGCAGGCTGTGCAGGGTTAGGAAGCCGGACGCGCTCACAGTCACCTGGGAGGGCACCCTGCATGCGGAACTGGAGCGCGCGCCTGGGCACTCACCTGGCCTGTTGTCCTGCTCACCGCCTAGGACCCTCCGAAGGTTTACCCACCTGTCCCAGCCGAGAAGAGGAAGCCCATCCGGGTGCTGTCTCTATTTGACGGAATCGCTACAGGTGAGAGCGACACAGGTGCCGAGAGGGCCCTGTCTCGGGCTGGGACGTGCAGCTCTGCTTGGGACTGTGCATTTAACTCTGCAAAACCAAACAGTAGTGAGCATTACAGCTCTTACAGCATTACCCTAAAGGGGAGACTTTGGGCTCAGTGAAAAGTGAAGTAAATGGTAAACCAACAACATGTCTGGTATTTAATGGGGGAGGCTTTCCAGCAGAGGACAGAGCGATTGCTAGTCAGCAATTATTGATGGTTTTCACAAACCTCAAAGGACGGACGGGACAACCAAAACAAAAACAGGAGAGCAAAGAATATTTAAATTGCCCATAATCCTATAATTAGTGTTATGGCGTATGTCATTTTAGATTTTTGTGTGTGTGCATATATGTGTGTGTTTATATAATCATACATAGATGAAACAGAAGGATAGTAAAATGGGTAGTGTTTTAACTTGCCTTTTCATTTATGATGTTATGACTATATTTCATGTCAATCAGCATAGAACTACATTCTTTATCTGTAAATGCTGCACAGGATTCCACCGAGTGAAAGTACCATAATTTATTTAATCCTCTATTGGATTGTATACTATTTTTTTTTTCTCTCACTATTATGAGCAGTGCTCTGACAAGCCTCCTATGCACGACGTTACAGACTTAAGAAGCCATTATCTTTTAGGGAGTGCTGGGTCACCGTGTAGGTACTGTTTTTTCATGTGGCTCTTGGCCTTGCCGGAAAGCCCTCCTGGAAGGCGGTACTGACATTCTCTGCCCTTAGCCTGCTCCCGGGCTGAGGGCTTCTCAGTTTCCTTGGAAGGAGCAGCCGTCCTCAGAACTTGCCTTCATGTGACCAGAGGGAGAGGGGCAGTCTAAGCCCAGAGACCTTGGCCCAAAGGCCACTGTGGGGATGGCACCCCGGCCAGCTGTTTGCCTTGCTGTTAGCTCAGCGCTGATGTTCTGAACAGCTTTGGTTTCTCAGGCTAGAACCTCGAGGCCTCCTTCAACAGCGGCATACTTCCATAGGCTGCAAAGGCTCCTTGGGGGTGGGGGGGTCCACTGGAAGTGATCCCACAGCAGTCCCTTCCTCCTGGAGCCCTCAGGGCCTGTTCTGAGTGTTTCCTCACTTCAGCACGTGTTTGTGGAGGGACCTTGGTAAGGAAGTGAGTGCAGTTAGCTCAGGAGGAAGCACATGAATGAGGCTTCCACTCTGTCTTGAAGACCGTCTGTAGCCCAAGAGAGAGGCTGAATTAGGAACATGTGCTGCCCTTGTGACGTAGAGAGGGATGGAAAGTGCTGCAGGCCCACAGAGGAGGGCAGGCGACCCCAGGGGCATGCGGCGTTGGGGGCGGGGGGGCATTGGTGAAACATTTTTAGAGCAGGTGGCATTTACGTTGAGTCTGGAAGGATGAGTAGAATTGCAGCAGTGTGTGCTATTTTGGGGAGAGGAGTGGGAAGGAAGGACCAGTGTGTGCGAGATGGAGAAATAGGAAAGAAGAGGCCGCCTAAAAGTCAGCGGTGGTTCTTCCTGGATCCCAAAACCACATGCAGTCCGGTCAGTCTGTTCTGGCCTCAGCTAGCTCAAATGAGACACGAAACAGCCTCAGTGTCCTCATCATTAATATCCCAGTTAGTCCAGAAGGATTTAAAGCAGCTTACTGGGCAGGGAAGGGCTTGGGCCTATGGCTGACCCATGTGTCCAGCTGGCCAGAGGGCTCTCCTGGAAAGACCAAGGTGCCTGAGGTGGCCCTGTGACCGTGTATTTTGCTGGCTGGTGCAGGGCTTCTGGTGCTGAAGGACTTGGGCATCCAGGTGGATCGCTACATCGCCTCGGAGGTGTGCGAGGACTCCATCACTGTGGGCATGGTGCGGCACCAGGGGAAGATCATGTACGTCGGCGACGTCCGCAGCGTCACGCAGAAGCATGTATGTCCGTGCTGTGGGACCCGTCCCTCCTCCTCTGTGTCCCTTGCACTCAGCTCCTGGGGGCACGCTGACCGCCTTGCATTTCGTTCATGCGTTCTTTTCCTTTCCCCGTCTCCCCCAGCCCATATTCCCGCTCGTCTTCCATTTTCCCCCTCATCTCGAGGGTGACAGGCAGCGTGAAATGGGAATTGGGGAGCTAGCCCTCTGGGGCTTGGGCTGCTCCCGGGCTGGTTTCGGGCCCTTGTTAGGTGAGTGCTTAGCATTGCAGAGAGGGGCCAGTCTTCCTCACACTTCTGGTGACAGCTTTACCAGCCTCCATTACTCAGGGTCTCTGGTGGGGCCTTTGCCCTTCCAGTTATTTGTGTCTACCCCTGAAACCATAGGCCCTCAGGAATCCTAAAGGGTGTTTGAAGGGCATTCAGATAGCTCAGACAACCCCACCCAAAGGGTGCAGAGCACCAAGTGCCTTCAGTTCAGCCGTGTGGCCGGGGCTGTCTTCTCACTGAGTGGTTGCCTTTCCTGCTGGGAACACGCTGGTGTCCCTGATAGCCTCAGATGATCCAGTTTGGTCCCTTCACTTTAGCGTTCAGGAAACTGAGTCCAGAGGGCCACAAGGACTGGCCTGTGGCCACACAGTGTGTGTGTATGCATGCATGTAGTATGTACGTATGAATGTGTGTAGTGAGCATACATTGCAGCTGGGTCTCCTCTCCCCATGTCCAAGTACTTTTTTTTGCCACGTTCACAGATCATTTCTCTTGCTTTCTACCTCTGTCCCTGGACATCAGGCCCATCACGTTACCTTTATCCTCCCAGATCCAGGAGTGGGGCCCGTTCGATCTGGTGATTGGGGGCAGTCCGTGCAATGATCTCTCCATCGTCAACCCTGCCCGCAAGGGACTCTACGGTAGGTGCCACGCTCGACCGGCCACCTTCTCGGCCGGCGCTTCTGCACGTAGGTTTCCTACTTGGATACCCTGCCCAGGGGCGGCGCCTCCCGATGCCCCGCCCTCCTTTACCCTCCCCGCGCCCGAGCCACACCACTGTCTCGGCAGATAGCCCAGCTGACGGCTTTCTCTTCCGCCTCTCAGAGGGCACTGGCCGGCTCTTCTTTGAGTTCTACCGCCTCCTGCATGATGCGCGGCCCAAGGAGGGAGATGACCGCCCCTTCTTCTGGCTCTTTGAGAATGTGGTGGCCATGGGCGTTAGTGACAAGAGGGACATCTCGCGATTTCTCGAGGTATAGCCAGCACCTGGTTTGGCCAGCTCACTAATGGCTTCTACCTTGGACCGCCGCTTTATCCCTGTCTCATCTGCATTGTGGAGCTGGGGACTGGGGACTTCTGCTTTGCAAGGGGCCTGTTTGGGAAGCTCAGGGCTTCCCAGGTAGGGAGGAAAGTGCTGTTAGAGGCCCACCCTGAAAGAACTCATGGCCTCCCCCTAAGAGGAGGTACATGGGTGTGGGCCTCAGGACTCGAGGGCCTGACAGTTAAGGGGGTGACACCTCCTGGGGCTGGGCTTCTGTGTGGTGGTTCACTCGGGAGACCTAGGAGATGCCAAAATTAATGGCTGTCTTCCCTCCGTGGCAACTGTGACAGATGTTTTATGTCACCTGGGAACAAAACATGGCTTATCTCATAACATGGGTCCCAGCTTGGCTCTGAGGCAGGTCTGAGCCCCGCCCAGAGGATTTCTGCGGCCAGCGGCACGCTCGCTCAGGGTGGGCCGTCTGGGAGCCCCAGCCTGCGCCCCTCAGTCTTGGGATCAGCCGCACCGCAGCTGCTGTTCTGCCAGTAGGTCTCTGTTGGGCTCATAATCTGGATGTATAGTGAACATATGCACGCTGGTGGCAGCTTTCTTTCTCAAAGCTTCTGGGTGAAAGAGAGCTGTGTGGTCCAGTATGGTAGCCATTGGCCCCATGTGGTATTTAAAAAATGGTTAAAGTTTCCTCAGTCACATTAGCCTCATGTCAAGTACTCCATAGCCGCTGGCAGCTGGTGAGGTAGCGGCCGCTGTAGTGAACAGCACAGAGAGAGAACATTTCCATTCTCGTAGTGTGTTCAGTTGGTCGGTGCTGGTCTGGAATGTTCCAGGAAGGGCACGTGCGGTGAGGTGAGGTTTCATTCTGGCTTTTCCCAGAGGCATCAGGCTGCCCCAGCCTGTGGCCTCCTCAGAGAGAAGTCAGAGCCTTCGAGGCTTCAGGGCTCTCAACCAGCAAAATTTCCTGTCATGCGTGAACATTCCTCTCACTCATCTTTACTCTCTCTCCTGTTTTATAGTCCAACCCTGTGATGATTGATGCCAAAGAAGTGTCAGCTGCACACAGGGCCCGCTACTTCTGGGGGAACCTTCCTGGTATGAACAGGTTGGTGAGCGCGCCCGGGCTGGGGTGGCTGCTGGTGGGGTGTGCAGGCAGGCGGCCCGGCCGCGGGGTCCCTGGGTGAACCGCTTGCTGCTCGGCCGTGTTCTTCATTTCCTTCTTGAGAAAGAAGCGGGGGAGTCTGGGTATAGAAAATACTGGCCTAATAAACCAGCAACTGGTGGTTAGAAACAGGACTTCTAAAGGGCACTTTTTGCACAGAAGAAAAATCACTGTGCTGCTGAGTTACATAGTTGGCTCCCTGACGTTGGCGATGTATGTAGAGTCCGCTGGTCCTTAGTCTCCTGAGGCAGAGTCATGGAGGATGGGGCTGGGGATGGGAAAGGAGGGAGGCCCATGGCCCAGCCACATCACGGTCTAGGAGAAGGGGGTCTTGGAGCAGCACTGTGCAGGTTGGAGGTTCCTACTTCGCTTGTGCACGCTCCGTTGACTGCAGGCCTTTGGAAGGATGCTCTTCATTTAAGCTACACATTGAGGAATGATGAAAATTTCATTTCTTCAGTGCAATACTTACATTATAAAAAAAAAGCCTATGAGGAGAGAGGAACTCTGGTTGAAAAGGAGCAGTTCAAAAGCAGAGTGAGGTCTGCCCACTTTAGATACCTACTGTGGAGGGGAGTATTTTCCAGAATGCATTGAGGATGGATTTAAACCTCCTTGGTAGTAGCGGCAATGGGAAAAGCCTTCTTCCTGGCCTCAGTTCTCTCACCTGCCCCTTTGCCATCAGCACTAAGTTGTAGGCACTTCCCCAGTCTCAACATCTGCTGCCTTTGGGGAGGACTTGCTGGTGGGAGGGAGGTGCGTCGGGGAGGCAGCTGACCTGACAACTCTCAATGTTCCCTGAAGTTTCCCGGGTAGGTGCGTGCATGGGAAGAATTGGCTGGCTTTTATGGTCCAGCATTTCCGTGAAGCCACTAACTCAATATCCCTTGACAGGCCTTGGTCCCAGGGAATTAGCCCCACCTGCTTCTTCCAACTCTAAAATTCTAGAACTCTGAGCCTCCAGGAGGAGCAGGGGCACCAGGCGGGACCAGGCGGAGCCGTGTGTGTGCATATGTGTGTGTACGCGCAGACAGAGGAGTCTGGAGGTGCACAGGTCCCTGTGGTTCCCACGCTGAGATGGCAGCCGTCTGTGTGACACCTTTATTAAGTATTTCTGTGTTGTCAGGAAAGGCCTGTGCTGAAGGTGGTTTGGTCTGCCCTCTGGGAAGTGACACACTCAGTGTCGGAGAATTTCAGTCTTCAGGAGTCTGCAGAATTTATCTTTTTACCTGTACATTTAAGGTGTACAGTTCAGTGAATTTTACCCAGTGGGCACACCCTTGTAACTGTCACCAGAGTCAAGATACACAACATTCTGTCACCCCCAGAGTTTGCTTGGTGATGGATACTTTTAAAACTGATTAAAAATATTTGGGTTTTTCCCCTTCGGGGCAGGTGTTCTGCTTGTTTGTGGTCTGAGACCACTTGTGAGCTTCCCTTTACGGGTGGATGCTCACTGGGTTTGCGGCCATGGATGGCTGCAGTGTAAGTCCATGTCTTCTGGGGCAGTTGGAAGATCTCACGATGTGTTGGGGACAGGACCATCTTCGGCTCATCTGTGCGAGTCAGTGGCTGGGTCAGCACTGCGGGTGTGCCCCGCGCTGCTCCTGGTTTCTGTGTCACCCTCTCTTTTCTGCCTCCCAGGCCGTTGGCATCCACTGTGAATGATAAGCTGGAGCTGCAGGAGTGCCTGGAGCACGGCAGAATAGCCAAGGTTAGCCCAGCGCCAGGGCCTCCTGCGGGGGGCGGGCAGGGAGCGGGGTGTGGCAGAGCAGCCGCCAGGCCTGTGTCCCGCCTGCCCTCGCGGGCTCTGGGTGCAGCTAGTGTGGGGGATGCAATTTAGGAGGCAGTGTGGGTCATTCACACAGTTGGCCTGAGGAGAGGTTCCAGAGGAAGGAAGGTTGAGGAGGGCAGGGAGAGAGATCAGAAGTCAATGCTGCTCTGGCTGGTGTGGCTCAGTGGTTGGAGTGCCTGCCTGCAAACCAAAGGGTCGCCAGTTTGATTCCCAGACAGGGCAGGCACATGCCTGGGTTGCGGGCCAGGCCTCCAGTTGGGGGCACACAAGAGGCAACCGATAGATGTGTCTTTCACACATCGAGGTTTCTCTCCCTCTTTTTCTCCCTTCCCTGCTCTAAAAATAAATAAATGAAATCTTAAAAAAACAAACAAAAAAGTCATTGCTGGCCTTCAGCCCTTCCTTGTTAAGCATCACTTGCTGTCCCATGGAAGGTGGACACTGAGAAACTTGCCCAGGTCCCTCGAGCTGCTAGATAGGGCCTTTAAATTTTTTTGGCCCAGACCCGTGGGATGAGCCTCCAGAGCAGCTATTCTCCTGTGATATGGAAGCTCTGTTTCTCTCTGGAGGAATCTCCTGAGTGAGCGCACCAGGCATTCTGTGCGAGCTGGTGCCAGCATTTGTGTCTTTGAGCCTGGGTGGGTGGGCATCTTTTTGCCTGCAAGTCACTGCACTTGGGAAAGAAGCAATTCTTAGAAGACTTAGGGAGGATAGTGGTTTAAGCTGCTATAGCTCAAGTCCTTGGCCAGTGGGATGGGACAAAGGATGGCTGGGTGACCTCAGAGCAGGAAGAGGAGCAAGGTGGTGAGGCTCATGACTGGGGCCTTCCCCGGCCCCCTGGATGGACCAGGCCTTGTCAGGGCTGGACTCCCCAGTGCCAGGTGAACACCTGGCACACGCGGTAGGTGCCTGACCAGTGACTGAGCGCTCATTCCTCTTTCCTCATCTTCTAGTTCAGCAAAGTGAGGACCATTACGACTAGGTCGAACTCCATAAAGCAGGGCAAAGACCAGCATTTCCCCGTCTTCATGAATGAGAAAGAGGACATCTTATGGTGCACTGAAATGGAAAGGTACCTGAGGCCATGGGCTGGTGTTGCGGGGGCTGTGTGGTATGTTCTAGTTGCTGTCCTTGCAGGATGGATCTCTGTCTCTCCTGGCCATGTGTCTTCCACAGAGGCCGTGCGAGCAGTGGGTTTTCCCAGCATGGCACTTAGGAATCAGTCAACCGCAATGCCTTGGCCCACAGAGGTCCTGCTGCATGCCAAGGAGCCACGGCAGCTTCCGGAGCTTCCTTACCTGCTGCTGCTCACTTTAAGTACCTTACAAACAGGACAGCACAGGACCAGGGAGGCTTCCAGCCTGAGCACCCTGATTTGGTGCCAGCTGGACTCACAGGCAGATGACTTCTGCATCCTCAGTGTATCTGCGATTTAGCCAAACTACCACAGCAAAGAGGAACTCCCGTAGTCAGGCAAGAGTTCAGCCCCTCTGTAGGCTTTTCCTCCGTCTTGCCGGGCAGGTGTTAGGATGTACAGTTGTTGCGTGCAGACTTCACTTACCCCCTGTGGATCTAAACCTCAGGCAGGGGCTGCCCAGAGGTGTTCTTCACAAATACCAACTTCGCTTCTGCTGTGTGGTGAATCCCTAGGCTGTGATCATCTGACTTGCTTCCAATCTACACAAAGTATTGGGACACCAGAGTCTTGAATTGGTTACGGAGGACAGAAGATCCCGCAGAACCGCGCGCACCAGCGCTCACCCACGCCCCTCTCTGCCTTTTCTCCCCAGGGTGTTTGGCTTCCCTGTCCACTATACCGATGTCTCCAACATGAGCCGCTTGGCGAGGCAGAGACTGCTGGGCCGGTCGTGGAGCGTGCCGGTCATCCGCCACCTCTTCGCTCCGCTGAAGGAATATTTTGCTTGTGTGTAAGGGACATGAGGGCAAACCGAGGTAGTGACACAAAGTTAAACAAACAAACAAAATTCACAAAACACAACAAAACACCAAGAACGTGAGGATGGAGAGAAGTATCAGCACCCAGAAGAGACAAAGGAATTTAACAACCACAGAGGCGGAAGTACCGGAGGGCTTTTGCCTTGCGGAAAGGGTTGGACATCATCTCCTGATTTTTCAATGTTACCCTTTAGTCCTATTTAAAAACAATACCAAGTTCTCTCCCCGCCCGCCCCCCTTTTTTTGGTCAAACCTTTTGTTTTCTACTCTTTTTTTTTTTTTTCAGAGGGGTTTTCCATTCGTTTGGGTTTTTGTTTCTTGCTGTGACTGAAACAAGAGGGTTTATTGATGCAAAAATCAATAACAAAAAATAGTAACAATACCTTGCAGAGGAAAGATAAGAAAGAGAGATGGAAAAAAAGGAAATTCTATAGAAATCTATATATTGGTATTGGATTTTTTTTCTTTACTATATATCTTTTATTTTGTTGTTGTCTCTAGCCTGATCAGATAGGAGGACAAGCAGGGGACAGAAAACAGAGAGACACTCAGGAGGCAGAGCCCCCTCCCAGCCACTGAGCTGTCTTGCCAGCACCATTCCTGGTCATGCAGAGCAGAGCCCAGCTAGCAGCAGGGAGACGAGAACACCACACAAGACCCTTTTATACAGTATTTCAGGTGCCTACCACACAGGAAATCTTGAAGAAAATCAGTTTCTAGAAGCCGCTGTTACCTCTTGTTTACAGTTTATATATATATGATAGATATGAGCTATATATATAAAAGGTACTGTTAACTACTGTACAACCTGACTTCATAATGGTGCTTTCAAACAGCGAGATGAGTAAAAACATCAGCTTCCACGTTGCCTTATGTGCAAAGGGTTTTAACCAAGGATGGAGAGAGGGAACAATAGCTCGAAGGTGGATCTCCATCAAGGTGGGCTTTTCCCCCCTTGGTGTTCAATGAGGTGAAGGAGAACTCGGGAACAGTGTTCCCCGCTTCTCCCTGCCAAAAAGGGGGTGAGGTGGTCGGGACCGTGGACAGCTGAGAGCGGGATTCATCCAGGATCACGCAATAACCTTTTGATTTCTTTCTTTTATCAAAAAGGAGACTCCCTCAGCAAGGTGGCAGGATAAGGGGTCTTCATTCCAACTTTCTCACATTAGCTGATTCGAGGGCTCCTCGTGGTGGGATCAGAAATAATCCAGAGTGAGGGAAAGTGACCGTTCAAACCCCACCTGGAGCAAATAAAAAAACATACAAAACGTACTGGTGCTTTCCTGTCTAAAGTCGCCTTTTGTGTGTTCTTTTATGAGGCCCCACCATCCACCCTCTGTGCACAAGGTGGCTTCTGGCCCTGGAATGTGATGTTTTTGGTCATCTCCAAAGGCTGCAGTTTTATACTGGGAGGCTGATGACACCTTTTGTTATAATTATTCTTATGGTTCTGGTTATAGTTATGTTTGTTTTCAGATTTTTCGTTAAGACACAGAAACCCAACCCCCCCCCCCCTTTAGGTTTCAAACCAAGGTGCGGGGAGCAGGGTGCTTCATGTGAGTGGTGGCCCTGGTGCCCTGGCTCCCCGCCCCTCGGGCCAGGTGGGCCACCAGGCGCAGCTGATAGCTGGGCAGCCGGGGAGTCCCCCGAGGCCGGCCTTCCGGTGCGTCCCTCTTCTCTTCTACTTCCCCTCCTCTGGAGTCATGTGTGTCAGGGCTGGAGGGAGGACCGGCCATCTCTCTCCTTGTGTGTGTGTGTGTGTGTGATTGGAGTGGTGTGTATTTCTTTTCTAGTGCTTGGTCTGATGATAGCTGTGCTCTTACCTCGAGTCAGCAGCACCTGGAGCCCCAAGTGCATGACACTTGGTTCCGCTTCCTACCGAGGCAAGCAGCCTGGCGTTGGCGGTAGGCGGGGACGGCATTGGCGGCTCCAGGGTGAGGGCCCAGTGGGCAGATGCTTGCCTGGGTAGATGGGGTGTAGATATGTGGCATATAGAGATATATATTTTATAATGGGAGGGGGGATGGCACCTCCTGGGACCGGCAGGGCTGGGAGGTGTGCTGTCAAGCACATGGTCCCAAGTTCGCATCCCTAGAAACATAGGGCCTATGGTGATAGGCGCTATATAAATACATAGATAGGGTCATGTATAAGAAATATTATGTAGTGGGGAGCGGGGGGAGGGGCTCAGGATGCTGAGCCTCGGGTCCCGCCGCAGACAAGCCCCACACCAATCAACCCCACACGCATACACAGGAACATTTCTATCCCGATGCAGAGCGAGTGCACTTACACACGCAGCCAGGGAGCACCCCGCACGACTCTCCCCAGGATTCAGGACTTTGTGGAGTCGGCCCTGCAGCTCTTTACCTCTGTTGCCCTGATTGCAGGTAGACTGTCAATCCCAGAAGTTGCTAGGTGCTGAAGGCAGGAAAAGGAGGAGGTTTTATTTTAGCAGGTGCTCTCCTCTAGCAGATAGCATTCTCTCTCTTTTGCCCCTGGTGATGTCAAAAGATTCTTCTGTTAGCAACTGTGATACTGACCTGCAACTCGAGGCACCAGTCAAGTCAGCCCTCAACTCCCCCTACCTATTCTCCCCCCACCAAAACAAAATTGACATCCAGGTCTGTCTTGGCCAAGGGGCTTCCATTAAAAAAAAAATATGGGACAGTGAACCTCATGTTTCGAATAAAGCAAATTAGTAATTGGCAACACAATTAAACCGAGGCTTTGAATCCCTTGCTCACTGCTCAGGACTCTGCTCACAGCCAGTAGCCAGTCTTCTGCTCCTTTTAGGGGTGCTTAGTTCTGGACCCCAACCTACTCAGTTCCTTGTCAGATTGGCTTTGAAGATCACACTCAGTTGCTTCCTGCCAGCTCTGTGAAGTGGAGGCGGTGGTGACGGTGGGCCCCCAGAGGGCTGGAGCAGCTAGGAGGGGGGACACCTTTGCCCTTCCCTCTCTGGAGTCCCCGTGCCTAACTGGTGCTCGCCCTGTCCCCTCATGCTCCAGTCGGCTCCACCCCCCTGGCCCGGGGACCACCAGCAGCACTGCAGGAGGCTGGGGGGAGGGGGGCTGCCTCGGGCAGTCCAAGGTGCTCCCTCCCCCACTGCCAGCGCCAAGGTCTTCCCGGCCACAGTGCCAGGGCAGGCTGGGCCTCCCTCTGCGCACACTCGCAGCATTTCCGGCTTTCCTAGGCCTCCGTCCGCTGCTTGTGTGATGGCGTTTGCCTTTCCCAGTGGCCCAAGCTCCACCCGAGGTGGGGTGTGGGAAGCAGCTTGGTAGCCAAGGACACGGCAAACCTGAGGCTTGGTGTGGGCCAGCCCCCTGGCGCAGAGGGGGTTCGTTGTGTCTGGTCCTTAAGAGCGTTAGTTCTTCCGGCCTCGCAAGCTGACCGGGCCCCAGAACAGGCTAGGTGCCCCTCACAGGGATGAGCGCAAACAATCACCAGCTTTTCTTCCAGCCAACCTGTGGGGTCAGACCCGCAGCGGAACTTGGTGGGTGCAGGGGACCTTGGGAAGGCGCCCACTCAGCCATGCCAGGATGCTCTTGATCCACTTCCAACCATAGGGGGACTTCTGGGGGCTGGTCCCAGGTCACCTTCTAAAGGGGACCTGTGCTCCAACAGGCAGGGCTGTTGGAGGATTGAGGTGGGGACCGTAACACTTGCTGTGGGTGAGGCAGGGGGGATGCTGGAGTGTGTCCCCGGTGGGATTGTCTTTCTAAAGAGCAGAGCCACTTACCCCTGGAAACAAGGGCTTCTCAGAGACCGGGGGCGAGGCCTCCCTTCTTACTGCAGGTGCCAAGTGGAGCGTGGTGCCAAAGAGGTTTGGGGAGGTAGCCGGGGGCCCTTGCCAGGGTTGCAGAGCCCCTGGTTGCCTGCCTGAGGAGGAAGCTAGTCTCGGGCAGGTAGCTGCTGAGCCCCGCGGGCCTCAAGCTGGGTGGTGCTAACCCTTTTCCCCATGGAATTGACTGGAAAACAGTAAGCTGGGGGAGCAGCAGATGATGGTTTGCAGTCGGCAGATGACTTCAGTGTGTTGCTATCTGTTTCTGTCTCCAGACCCCAGAACCTTCTTGCTATCGGACATCCTGTTAGCAAGCTTTACAGAAGAGCGTCCAGGACTGCTTAGCTTTGGGGCAGGCCTGGGAAGTGGTTGGCTGGTGAAGATGCCCATGTGAGTTTCGGTGGGTCGCTAAGGCGCAGACTGGGACAGGCAGACCCAGGGGGAGGAAGGAGGTTGGACTTTGAACTAGTCTGGTGAGGCCCGGCTCTCCATTCTCCCTGCTCAGCTGGCTGATCTGCGGAGGCCTGGGGCCGGGAGTGAGCCGCCCTTTCCAGCTTGCGGGGCGGGGGGGTCGCGGGGGGGGGGTGGTGACAGGAGCTGGGGGGTAGGTCCGAGGAGCCACCTGGGAAATGTTCCACAGGAAGACTGTAACCAGCAGTCTTCACGCCTTCCATTACGTGTCTGTAAAGTGGCCCTGGAGGCGGTTTTAAATTCCTGTCGCTGTCCTGCTTGGTGCAGAGCCGCTGTGGCACTGGTGTCTTTCAGAGGTGTCCTTTTCTGGAAGCTTACAGGCGCCTGCGAGCTGTGGGCCAGGGCCCTGGGGCCTGGCTGGCCCCGAGGTCTGCGGAGGGCAGGCTGTTTGCTGTGTCGGGACAGCTCAGCTGGGGTGCTCCTGGTGGGCAGTGAGCTTCCAGCCCGGCCCGTTTCCATCCAAGGGGTGAGGAGTCTGAATCTGTCATTTGGCATTGTCTGGTCTGGTTGCTCCCAGTCCTTGGGATTAGACGTGACCCTGGAGTTTCCCTGCCCTCTGGCAGGAAGCAGCTGAAGCCTGTCCTCCCCTGCAGGATGGGGAAGGTGCCATGGCGGGCTGGCCTGGAGCTGGCGTGGGGCGGCCCTCCCAGCCAGTTCCTGCCGAGGCAGGGAGCAGCTACAAGTGTTTGGAGGATCTGGGAAGAAAGAATAGATAGGGATGGACTCCGCTGTGCTAGCAGAAGCTCTTGACTCTTTACGTTTTGGTAAAGGAAGGCTGGGGTCTTAGGGAAACAGGGGTAGTGTGTCCTGCCCCTGTGAGTGTGGCAGAGACCCTGCTGAGGTGGCCTTCGGTGGGCAACCTCTTGCTCATCGCTGACTCTAGGCAGTGGAGTTTGGGGGGAGGGACGTGTAGCAGGTTGGAGGCAGTGAAGACAAGGACAGAAGGTCCCTTTTCTGTTGGTGACTGGCTAAAGTGCCCAAACAGAGGCCCAAGGACTCCTGTAACTGGAAAACGTCCCCCCCCCGTGCTCCCCCCGGGACGGGGGAACACAGGAGGGTGGCTTTCTCAAACCCCAGCCTGGTGGCCTCCAGCCCCGAGCCCAAGCCCGAGCCGAGGAGATGAGCAGGGGTCGAAAGCCTCGCCTTGGTCCCGTTTCACTTCCCAGACTGATTTGGTTGCATAGCCCTGGAATTCAACAAACAAACAAACAAATGACAACAAAATGCCGAAATTCCTTAGAATACGCAGAGGGAGGAGGTGACTCAACAAGGTGCTAAAACATTTTATTAAAAATATATATTGTTAAATTAAGTCTGCTGTCTGGACAATGACTGTTTGTTTTGTTTTCTTGTAGTGGAGTTTAAAAGAGACTATTATTTTACTCTGATATATTATTATTAAAAAGGCATTTTAACTTTGTACTTGAAAACTAAATGAGCGATTTCATGTGTTTTAGCTGAGGCATTGAAGTAGCGGGTGCTTACTTATTTGTGGGAAATCATGTATTCATACTGAAGAATAAACTCCGTAGCTGATTTGGTAATAACTTTTACTGTTACAGACGATTTCGCTTTGACCCCATTGGCAGAGCACTTTCACTCCACATTCCACGCAGCTAAACGCAGGACTTACTCCCAGATCCTTCCCGCCCCGGCCCTCTTCCCTTTCTCTTCAGTTCCTCTTTTTTTCCTTTTATTATTATTTTTTTTTTCCTGGTTCCAGCATCCTTTCACCACTGTATTTTTTTTAGGGTTGCTTCTCTATTTATTGACAATAATAATGTACATTTCACAGTCTGGTTCTGGGACATCCAGGGAGGGGCGCGTGCGGGGGATCCCCGAGCGGGTCCCCACCCGGGTCCCCCGGTCCCCCGGTGTTCTGTTGTATCTCTGTGTAAGTGATGCTCGTGACATAGCTGTTTATGAAATAATTAAAGAGGTCAATGCGTACAGCAGATGTAGAAAGTCTGTCAGTTCCGCCTTCATCACATTTTTTTGTGCCCAGAAGAATATAATAAAGCTCCTTTCTAATGTACTTGTGCTGGAGAACACTTGAATAAATGGACTGTTTTTGTGCAAAAAGAAAAATGGAAAAAGCACCGTAATAATGTCCTTTTGTCTTGCGTCTCCTTTCCCCTGACATGACTGTTCACAGCCTTCTCCAGAGGGGTTAAATACTAGCACTGGGTCCAGACAATGCAGGTCCTCCCTCTAAAACATCACCTGCCTGGGTGTTAAATAGGCACTGTAGGCTGCATAGAAAAACAGGACAGTTTGGCTGACTTGACGCTCAAAGAT